AAGTGCAATTATGCGTCTTGCAAACCTTTAAGATAATAAGGAACACCATCTTCTTTCAAGCCACAGTCTACAGGTAGCGCTTTTCTACATTAACTTAGCTTACCAGTAACGCAGCTCTGGCAGTACAAGCGTCTTGCAAATCCTCCTTGCGATAAGAAATGTTCTATACTTTCGAGCCATAGTCTAAAAAAAGCGCTCTTCTACACTAACCTTGCTTACCAGTAACGCAGCGTGAATGGTATTCAAAAGAAGGTAATGCAAGAATAATTTAGGTATAGAGTTATTCTGAAAAATTTAGGAAGTGCGCTTACTTGTAAATTTGATGGACGCCCATGCTGCTGGGCAAATGTGCCACCTCCAGACGATCAACTGGATTGGCATGTTGGACGGGGCGCTCCAAACAGTACTGTCTTCAGGAACGCTCCTGCACCTGGTGAGCCTATTATGAGTTTATTTTATTTGGAAATCAGGTCGTCTGCTAGCAAATGAAGTGCACAGCTATAAAGCCCGAACTCGTGCAGGGTCTATATTTTTTACGCATTACTCATTCAATTTGTCGTCTTGTTTTACTTTGGTGATTTTTTGGGGACAGATATTGGTGAATACCGCGCCGTTCTGCTCGGAGGGAGCATTTTGCGCTTCCGCTAAATCATTCTGTTGGTTCAAGCTGACTAACAGGTGTGGCCAGACCTGTAAACTCCTGTAAAGCTGGGAAATTGTACAAGTGAACTACTCTGTTTGGAGGATTTTGCAGGTGCTTCCAAGGTTAACTGGGTACCTTTCGCTGCCCCCACTAAACTGAACCGCGCTGTGAATGCTACAAAGCTCGCCGTTATAGAATGTAGCTTGAGCCTGCTGAAGAAGGAGATCGGAGCAACTCGTTTCAAGTAACTAGTAAACTGTTCCCTCAAACTTCCTCAAGATGCACATGAGCTAGTCTTTCGATTTCAGTGTCTTTACATTGTACGCATTCCACCATCTCTGTCATCTAGAAGGGACCACATGTGTGGGGCTTAATCCAGGACTGTTTAGCAGAACGATTTTAACAGTCTATCGATCGTTATCTCCTTTCCCATCTCTGGGCTGCCTACAAAAGAGTTGAAAGAAGCCATAGCGAAAATATTCCATTGTTCAAGCTCGGGGATAGATCCTCTTTCACCGGTCTGGTTGGACGAGAATCCCCATTCGGTTTGAAATTTATAGAGGGCAATACCGGAAACTTCACGTCGATGACTAAGTGGGTGTGCGCACGATCGACTGTCCTCATAAAACTACGCCTATAAAAGTGCGAATAGATTTGTGGCGCTTTGTGACATGTGTCTCAGACGGGTCAAACAGTCGTCATCGGCCCCGCGAATTCAGACCGAATCTCCCGCTCACATGGTGAATCGCCACTCAATCGCAACGGAATGCGGATAAGTGTTGCCCATCATCATCCGCATAAACAGCCGCGAGAAAATCCCTGGTTACCGGATGGGTTACACCGATCCGTAGCGCTCTTATCACCTTGCCGAAAGGAGACCACCCATGGATAACCTGATTCGATAGCAGTTTTGTTAAATACCACACCCTGACGTTAGTCTTTTCTGTCATAACATTTACCCTACTTCCTTGGTACGGGCGAGAAAACTCCACGAGGGAGCAGTATTGCTTGACAAACGGGCCAAACTACCAGACCACAATAGAAGTTTTTTTTGACATCAGGATTGCGGGGGCGTAGATCAAATCGAGGCACGTGCACACCAACGGAACTAATTATAGTCCGACTTGGAATTTGTCTATCACCTGTCTTCATACGAGAAGGTCGTGAGAAACCGGAAAAAATTGGAAAAACAAGAAAGTCACGTTTGCAAGCAGAGTTAATTCTACTTCAGTGAACTAAAGAGCAGAAACACAAGCTCATAGTTTTACTCTTGATATTTGGTTCGGTACACATTCGTACTGTAACAGCCTTTTCTACCTGAGGCATCAACTCCGCAGGTACCTGACAAGTGCGCCAGAGGGTATTCAATTCTTCATGAACTTTACGACCCAACTTATCCATCGTTGCCGTTATATTTCTTCCCACTGGCTACCAAACCGGATATCAAGAGTAAGAGTAAGGGTTCGCCTTTCTGCTGTTTATTATGGCTCAATTATTGTTTTCCGATATGTTTCTTCCCCAGCGTATCTCGTAGGTCGTCATAAGGTTGAAGTCCAGATGTTGTCTAAGCCGCCTCAAGACCAGGATATGCCCATTGGGAATCTAAAAGGAGCTAGAATCGCTTCTACATACATACTTTCATATGTGCCCGAAAGTTTCAACAGTCGTTCAATACTACTGCACTTGTTTTGTTATTATGAAGTGTCGTTTAGCGCCGCAGTTCGCGCTCCGCAGTTTTTACGATAAGTGCTGTTTGACGCTTCAGTTCGGTCACCGGAATTCCGACAATGAGTCAGAACTCGGAGCCGCACTCCACTGGTTCCGTACGGGGGCGGTATCCGTTAATCCACCAAGGACTAGGCCTATACTCAACTGCTTTTGTGTCATGACCTTTTATGGCCATATAGCAACTTAATAGTCTGGCTTTATTACTCTTTATCAGCTCGCTTCTCAAAAATCACTCCGCATTTGGTTAGTCTCGACGGTAGTTGGCGAGAAGTACTTCTCAGAGGTATTCTGTCCACCTGAGCTTGAATCGCGGTCGCTTGAAGCGATACCGCGGCCGCTGTCTGCGCCACATGTGCCGTGGTTCTCGACCGGTAACGGTCTGGCGCCTTCACCGATCAAGCCGGACGTTCTCACGTCAATCAAAGGCGATATTCGTTGATGCTGTTCAGGCGCCAAACTACCCTTCTGGAAAAGTTTCAGCACATTTGATGTTTTGGGTGTTCAAGCTCCCGCGCCTGTGCTTCGAGTACCAGGCGTTCTCGGGGAAAGTAAATGTGGTTTTCTAAGCAGAAGGTGAGTAACCTCACGGGGCGGAGTAGCAACATCCTACCCTAATTACCTGGGGAAAATTTAGGATAAAAATCCACGCTTTTTCCTCGAATGCCAATATTCGTCAGCATTTTGATTACTGTGCTGTTGGAAATACAGCGCACCCTCCCCCACCTCCTCCTCCCCCCCCATTGAAAAAATTTTCCTTGAAACAGACTTCATTTGTCAGATTCCTTTCGCCTTGACGGACTGTGTTTCACATTCAAAAAAGTTTCGAAATTTGGCGCAGTTCGGCTTGGTGAGGGCATTTTGCACTTTCGCTACTACACGTCTCGTACTTTTTGCTCTTACAAGAGTTGGCAGGTATTCTGCACAAGTGTTGTAAAGTACTACACAGCTGAATAGTAGCATTTCACGGGCAAGATTTCCCGAATCTCCACTTGATGGCTCGACGCGATAAGTGGCGAAGTAGGGGAAGTAGCGAAAGTGCAGAATCATCCTCTCGCACCCAAAATCTTGTATGTGGCTATCCTAAGGTCAACAAGGAGGGATAAATATTTCACCGGGCTTCCCTAATATTTGAATGACCCCTACGATATTGCACCATGTCTATAGCACTGGACTAGATAAGCGCCGCACAAACACGTTTTATTCGAAATGTACATGGAAATCTACCAATTTCGAAGAGTGATTTCACCGAAGGTTACTGGAGCAACGGCGGCGAATTCCGATTCACTTTTATGGAATTGTTCGATCTGTGACCTTCATGGGGCTTAAGTCGTTGCACACAGCTGAGGGTTCGCCAATGTGGGTTAAGATTTAGATAGCCTCAGTGGACTCGGAAAACGGGATCATGTCAACTACTGTCTAAAAGAAGTATACGAGGGTGAGCAGATGTCGGAAAACCAAAAATAGAAAAATTAAGGACGCTCTTCGGCATGGGGGCATTTTGCAATTTTGCTGGTTTCTTTGCTTCTTTTCTATTAAAGTACACGTCTCGCCCTGTAGAAACCTGCATACTCTTGTCAGGTTTAGAGAAAACCCGTGCTACCACCTAGCTTTAGAAAAGTTTACAGGCTCTGCATCAGGCATCGCCAGCGACCGATGAGAACCAGCCAAATGCCCCCACCGAGCCAAACTGCGCCAAATCAAGATATTACCCTTCTCTTTCTCAGACTAGGGACCACGAGACAGCGGTTTAGTTTTCTAAGGAAGAACATCGGAAGTCTAGATCTCTAATGTTTGCTTCTCTAATTGAACGACGCGATTCTTTTCTAAGTGACTATTGGACTCGAAAACGGTTCCACTCTCCAGACTTGTCTTTAAGTAGCTCAATTTCGATTTTTCAACCTGTTCCCGAATAAAATCGGTAAGCGTCTCGCAGAGTAACGTAAACAGGGTTCCATGTACTGGCACTCATTATCATCTTACTGTTTTTTCTCATCTCTTCTCCACTCTCTGCGTTAATCCTCCCGTTTATTTCGTATAGAGCAATGCCATGGCCAGTTGTATTCCTGTTTTCTTTTTGCTCCGAGGCTGCAAAAGCCACTATCAGGGAGACGTCAAGACAATCGTATATTTTACCGCTTGCATTGCGCACGGCATAGGCAGTTTTTTAATTTGGCACACCCCCTTGACTGAGTCAGGCCTTTCATATAGAAATGAAACGAAATTATCGAAAATTAGAGATTTATTGGTTTATTTTTAGCCATTATCCATTGCCTTTTTAACCTATTCATTCGCGAGCGCGACGTCGCACGCGACGCCCACCAGTGCTGCGTAATACGGTTGTCTTGTCACATTACTGCCCATTACTAAGAACTCTAGGAAGTCAGAAGACGTAGGGAAACCTAATAAATAAGCCATTTATCGATAATTTTTGGCAAAGTAAGTGAGTAGGCGTCTTCTTCATGGGTCAGTCATGTATCATACTGTTGTTTTTATGTTTTTTTACTACAAGTATGCTATGAAAGTGCTATAATTTTCAGAAATTTTACTGCTTAAGGCTGGAAAAAATGTGTTGTGCACTCTGTTTGCTCTTAACTACTGATGTTTGATATACCAGTACGCTAAGAAGTCACTGATCAGTAATTTTTCAGCGGGAAGCTATTTGGTGGCGTATGCTCGTGCAGCTGCACCATCTGATGAGGCACAGTTTGCTTCATGTTCGATAGGATGTACAGCTAGTGACATTACCGTGCGAGCAAAGTAAGTATTTTTTGATTACCGTGAACAAACTTCAGGTTCATTGGGCAGAAATTATACCTGCAAATGCGACAGGGCGTATGAAGGGACCGAGAATTAGAGGCAATCATGACTGCCTTCTCCACCAAGTGTTGCTTGCTCAGGACGGTGGAAAAGGCTGCAACAGCTGCGCTCCAATCCACGCCTCTCTCACACGCCCACTCGTTTGCAGGGATGAATGACTGCAACTTGTTTGTCTCATTTTACTCAGTTGTCTAGCGTTCAGTTATTGTAGCTCTGGGAATACTTCCGTTGTAATTGGTGATTTCAAGAATTAGCAAATAGTTCATTGATTAGTTTTTGAATTTACAGACGGCATTACTGCTTTGCTCCCTTGTTTAAGTGTCCAGAACTTCCTTTTTTACTCTTTTTTTCGTTACTTTTTACACTTCGATTACCCATTAAAAAAGTGGCCTTCCAGGCACTGGACATCGGAGAATGTACTTCTTCAAGTTTGTCTTCGGGAATCATTCCCGAACGCTGGAGTTGTACATAATCCACTTCTCAATTGTCAAGAGTTCCCTGCTTCCGATGGATTGACAGCAACTGAACTCGTTTTGCCAAAGACTTCTCTAGTCGATGTAAGTCCTTGTTCGATCTATCCAAATAAAATGAAAATCTATTTCCCTTGAAAAAAATTGAAAATCTTGTTCAGATCGTATTCGTGGCATCGAATTTCATTGGAGAAAATGGAGATATGGCAATCTTGAACGATATCGAAGTCTCGTATGATAGAAATGGTCCAGAATGCGAAGAGACGGTGAGCAGTCACTACTTTTAAAGACAATCCCCACGATCAAGTGTCACGGGTAGTAGGTGCTCATCATGAACCAGTAGCCCATAAGTAACTCCCCAGTAGAGAAAGAAGCGAAAAAAATTTGGGAACACTCTGAACAGAGACCCCTTGGCAGTGGGCTGGCGCCTTGGACGAGTTTGTCGGACGTCGGCAAGCCCAATCAGCAGGATTCGACGTGCAACCAATTCCCGGCAAGAGCATAGGAAATCGCCCTACGACGCTCCAGGCAACGCTATGTACACACGCAATTCCGCTTGTAAGCCGTTGTCTTGCAAAATGAAAGTAGTCGTGGTTGCAATGGTTGCAATACGTCTCTAGCTTCTTACGCCGTTTCTTGTGATGAAAGTGGTACATTCTCTGCGAATGCGGACAACGATGTCAAATGCACGGAAGCATTTCGCGGACCACTTGATCGCGGGAACTGTCTTTAAGTCCAGCCCTTTTAAGCCTTGTTTCAGTTCTAAATCAGAACGTAAAAGAAATCCCCACCACAGCGAATCAATAATTGATTCGAGAAAGAGGCAAAGCAGAGTACACGAAGTCGTCTGCAAAACTTTCTCTACGTAATTTTATTATGTGGGAATGATTTATTGCGGAGATTTCACACTGCGGAGATCCGATGTTATGATTTACCTTTTACGTT